AGGGTCAGCTCCCTCAAAAGCTGAAGGTGGTAGGGCACCTTTCCTTCACCCCCACCACCACACCACAGACAAGGGAAGCAGTACCAGCTATACCCCTCTCAAGCCCTTAGGGCTGGCTTACCAGTGCCCCTGTCTACAGGGTCAACTCTATGGTGCTGCCCAAGTGACAGCAGGGCCAATTCTCCTGAGTGCTGTAGCTGGTGAGGGGTTGGGTTAAATAAAATCTTTAAAAAATGATAACACAACATCCACATCTACCTTTGGGTAGTAGTATAATGATACAAAACACTTTATGCAAATGTCAAGGGAGGGAGCCGAGATCTGAACAAAGGATTAAACACTTAAATTGATTGACTGTGCACTGGTTCAACAAATACACCTTCGAACCAGGAACTGTTCTAGGTGCTTGAAATACAACAAAACAAAGTTATTTACCGTGTGCAGCTCACATTCCTGTTGGGGAGGAAAGACAGATGAACAAACATAACGAATAAACACATCACACACTATATTCTACAGTTGTAAATTTTATGGGCGGAAAGGTAAAGTAGCTTAAGGTGGGGTTGGGAGATAGACTGGTTATTTTAAGAGAATTAAACTGGCCTTCTTGAAAAGCTGAAATTTACTGACTGCTTTATGTGAAACATTTTATTGTATCTTTCCCCTTGAGACAGGGAGGGTCTTACTGTGCAGCCTTGGCTAGCCTGAACCCACTTTCCAGACCAAGCTGGCCTTGAACTCACAGAGACCCACATGTCTCTCTGTGTCTCCCAAGTGCTGGGACTAGAGCTATGTGCCACCATGCCTGTCATAATTATTTTGAAAACTAAATTTGGGGGTTGGGAAATGACTTGGTAGGTAATGTGGTTTTGCATAAGTATAAGAACTTTAGTTTACTGTGAGGCAGGTGGATCTCTGTGACAGCGAGTGCCAGGCCAGGCCAGGATCTAAAGCGACACTGAGAAACTCTGTCTCGAAAACAAAGCAAAGCAAAACAAAACAAACAAATAAAAAAAAATTAGTTTAAACTCCCTAGCGACCACATAAAAAGTCAAAGGAGGCAATGTGCACCTGAAATCCCAGTACTGGTGAAAAAGAAACAGGAGGATGTCTGGGGCTCGTTAGCCAGCCAATCTAGCCAATATGGTGAACCTCCAAGCTCACTGAGAGATCATGTCTCAAAAACAAGGTGGAAAGTGATTGAAGAAGATGCTTGTTGTAGACCTCTGTTCTCCACTGCTTATACACATGCACACACACACACACACACACACACACACACACACACCACTCTAAATTATTCCTTGGCACTATAAACAATTTTGCAAAGACTTGAAAAGGATTACAATCTAAGAACTTTTGAAATTACAGTTGGTGCTAAATGTTTGTTCTTTTAAAAATGTATTGTATATTTGATTTTGTTTTAAAGACTTATTTTTTATTATGTTAAGTTGTATGAGTATGTGTACATGTGAGTGTAGATGCCTTGATGACCAGAGTCATCAAATCTCTTGAATTAGAAATACAGGCAGTTGTAATTCATTCTCCATGGGTGTTAGGAACCAAATTCAAGTCCTCTGCAAGAGCAGTAAATGCTGAGCCATATCTCCAGCTTTTGTATGTATGTATGCACACACACACACACACACACACACTTTCCCTAAGCTATATACACTGCACCTTAGTTCTTTAATAGAATGAATCTTATTATGTTAGTGGCAATAGATAAAGATTTTGTCTACGTTCCTTTCCCTCTGTCCTTTGTGAGTGTCATTTCTTGGGCTGACACTGGGGGTGTGATGGTGCACACTTTTGGTCCCAGCAGAAACAGGCGAATATCTGTGAATTCAAGGCCAGCCTAGTCTACAAATTGAATTCCAGGACAGCCAGGACTGTTAGCACAGAGAAACCCTATTTCGAAAATACAAAACAAACAAAAACAAAAAACAAAAAAATTTCCAACTGCTAGGAAGGTTGTGGTTCCTCTTAAGCAAAGTTTTTTGAACTTTACTTCATCCTCATCCACTAAAGAATGAATTCATCAGGAAACTGCAAAATCACAAGAAAGTTTTGAGAGCAATTATGGGCACACTATAGACTAAGCATGGGAAAAGGACTGGGATCTTTGGCTAACCTCAAATCATCAACAGTACTTCATATTTCAGGGCTCATTATCATGCTATTTGTTTATGAGGCACTAAAACACACATCCTTCTGGGAGTTAGCACGACTATCCAGTAATCATTTGTCTAAGTACCGTTTTTTAAAAAAACTAAGCCAAGGTATAAATATATACTTAAGGATATCTGACACTGCGTAGAGGATAACACTACTTTACCAACCTCCCACCGCTCCAAAGAATTTATTCCTTTATTTAAGAGATATTTGAGTATATATTTTTTAAAAACACATACACACAACTAAAACCCAGACAGGCAAGACATTAAGTCTCATTTGCAGGTGGCCTTTGTAACTGCACCTGGATAGGTTGTGTGTCTATTAGTAAAATACTGTAGACTGCTAGGTAACACAAAGGGAAATCTGTTTTTAAAAGAACATTCACCAACATTGCCAGTAGAATTTTGACAATATTGCACTTAAATTGTTTTTAACTTTGATTATGATAAAAAGACTTTTCAGGCGTCTAGTCACTAAAATCTAACCTTTTGTCTAGTACTGTGATTTTTAAGGAAAAGCTGGTTAAAATCAATTGGCATTTAGCAAGCTTGAGACATGTTTTCAACACATGGGAACGGAAAGCACTGGTCTCTGATCTTCAATCTACTATAACCTTTCAAAAACCATGAGCCAATGTGGTTGTACACACTTTCAGTCCCAGCACTGGAGAGGCTGAGGTCAGCCTGGGGTACACAGTGAGGCTGGCCTAGACTACATAAACGAAAGTGGCTCCAAAAAAGAGAAAAAAAAAAAAACAAAAACAAAAAACCTAGCCCTTTAATCCTAGTACTTGGGAGGAGGGAGAGAAAGGAGGCTCTGAATCTGAGACCAACCTGGTCTACATATCAAATTCCAGGCCGGTTGGGCCTACATAGCGAGACCCTGTCTCTAAATAAATTAGAACAACAAAATATCCTAAGAAGAATTTACTATGCCTTATGTTTACAAATATGGATAACTAAAACAACGAAATCAACAATTTCCCTCTTGCTCCAGTTCTGTAGCTAAAAAGACACGCCAAGGTGGTTAATATTTGTGGCACTGTAATTTGCTTGGACACACCCCACCAAAGATTTCTCAGTCAGAAGTGAGGAAAAAGAGCAGTAGAGCGTCTGATTGCTTGTCTCAAGTTGACATTTTCTTCCCAGACCAGCAAGATAAACAATAGGTGTGTTTGAGAAACTTTAGGGCTTTTTACCCCAAAGCAGATACCCAGATCCCACACATAAACAATTACCTACATCCCCTCAGTTACACTTTTCCCTTAACTCTCATCTGAGGAACTTGTCTCTCCTGAGGCTAAAGAGTTAGACCGGTTTATTTACATACTCAATCAGCACCGCACACCTCCAGTCTTTTAGATCATCTAAGTACGAACAATCTCAACCCAAATAAGGCTCTAAATTAACATCCACATTTCTGGTTTTTCTAAAAATTGCCATTTATTAAGGAAACACACCAATAGGAACAAGTTTTGGTTACAGTTGCAGACCTCCAAAATAATAATAATAATAAATATCTACCTAGAAAGTATAATCCATGTTAAGTGTTATAATACACAGATGAAGGGAGCTGATACATTTTGAACTTCAATGGATTTTGAAAATATTTTCATGTTGCTTTAAAATGATTTTCCAACAAGACAATAAACTCTGACTTCTGGAACTCACTCAGACTTTGCAAATCTAGAAACTCTATTTTAGGGATTAAAAAAAAAATCTACAGAAATGACCAAAGAGTAGTCTTTAACCATGGCTACAAGCAAATTTAGAGAACTTTAAATCTCTAGGGTTCAATGGGCCTAAGTGGAATTAAAACAAAAGTTGTTTTGTATTCTATTAATAGCATATGATTAAACGCGTATCTTATTTCAAATGGAATTCATTTATAAGTACTTAAACTTACTAAACTGGCCACTAATCCCATGTCTGTTTCTGGAAAAATTCTCTCACATAACATGCAAGTTAAAGGACCAATCACCATGCGTTCTGCTAGCTTAGGTCAATTCTTATTAAAATCTCAGTGCTCTCTGACTCCAACAATCTCCCCAAATCCTGGACGTAGGAAAAGTAAAACGCGAGCGAACAAGATCCCAACAATCGCATACATGCATAAAACTGCCAAAACGGTAACAACAACAAAAAAAGCCAAATTAAACTTAAAAGCTACGGTATGAAAGAGTCCAAGAGGGGGGAAGGCGTTTCAAGTCTTCCCAAGAGCAGTTTCGCTGGCAGCCTAGAAAATTCCGAGTTGAGGGAGCCAGGCTCACCTGGCGATGGATTCCTAATTACGGAGGAGTTTCTCCCCTACATTCTTGAGCGCTTTCTTTTCTTCGCGGAAACTCGAGCCTGTCTCTCTCTCTCTCTCTCTCTCTCTCTCTCTCTCTCTCTCTCTCTCTCTCTCCTCTTTTGGATCTGGGAAGGGTTTAGTCACGACGGTCAGACCAGCACCCTCACTGATCACAAAGAGAAGTTGGGGGGGGGATCCTGAGGACCCCACAGATTGTCGTCCATGTCTCCAACCCCCTTCCCCCCACCACGGGAAATGTGCGGGTCCCCTGGGCGTCTCCGAGAGCCCAGAGGGGACAGACCTTTCCCATGTAAAGTCCCCACTTTATCTCAAAAGTGAGAAAGAATCTCGACCTATCCCCGCTGGCGACAAGGGTCAGCTGCTTGGTGGGGCGCACGTTCCTGGCCTCGGACCCTGGAGTCCCCAAGTCTCTGGGTCTCCCAGCCTCCGCCTTCAGTCTCGAACCGCGATTCCACGGGGTCCCAGACCTCCCTGCACCGCTCTCGAGCTCCTCCTCAGAGTCCCACGCTTACCCGGTATGTGTTCTCCGTGAGCCGGTTCACCTCCTCCGGCCCCCGAGACATGGCTGCAGCCTCCGGGAGGGCGAGCGCGGGAGGACGCGGCGGGGCCTCGTGGCCGCCGGACTCCGGGCGGCGGGAGCGCCTAGGACTTGCGACTCGAGCGGCCCTCGAGAGTCGGCCGCCGCCACAGCCGCCAGCCGGAGAGAGCCAGCGCGCGTCTCCGCTGCCAAAATGTCAAAACTTTGCAGCGCTTCGAGCAGCGAGGTGCGGCGAGGTAAACGTAGCCTGACGCGGTTGGGACGAGCGAAGGGACGGGCAAGCCCCACCTGAGGCGGGAGGGGTGGGAGGGGCTGGGCGGCCATGGGGCGGGGCAGCCCCACCTGAGGTGGGCGGGGTCTCGGCCGGGTAGGCCGGAGTGGGCGGGGCGGCCTCGCTTAAGGCCGCCGCGGGGACCGGGAAGAGACTTGTGGAGCTCGGTGGGCGTGGCCTGGAGGCTTGGAGAGCCCGGTCCGCCTTCGGGGCTGATTGGCCTCAGCCGAGGCGGTGGGGAGGGGTGGCGTTGAGGAGCCAGCGGGAGGGGACGCGCCCCTACCCCGCCTGAAACGGCCTGCTGGGCGTGGCCTAGATGGTCGATGGGCGTGGCCGAAACGAGATGGGACGGGGTGGCGGTAGCCGCCCCAGCTGAGGCCGCCGGAGTGGCCGGACAGGGTGGGCTTGGCCTCGCAGACTGATGGGCGGTGCTGAAGCGAGCTTGGATTGGATTGAGAAGCTCTGGCTCAGGCAGGCAGCGGATAGAGGGGTCTTGGTAGTCGCTGGTGGGCGAGGCTGAAGCGAGGCGAGGTGGGTGCAGTGGACCCTGGGGATCGATCGGTCAGGGGGCTTCCTCCCCTGAGGCTGGCGGGGTGGCTCTCCCAGAATTCCAGTCACGCCCCTACCCTCACTCTCGCAGTACTTTTTAAGCAAAACTTGGACCTAAGGCGTCCAGGTCTCTGGTCTTGGGTCCTACACAAGGTGCTGGCCCTGAAAGCTCGAGGCCCACGCCCTTCGCTGGCGAATCCTCGGAGCCCTCTGCCCTTTGGGGGACTGTGAGGAGAGGGTGTTCTACACACACAGGTCGATTTCCCTCTTTGACTCTTGTCTGCTCCCCATCCAAGTGCCTTAGGACACAGCTTCTTATGGACGGAAGAAAGGAGTCACCACTTGTCTCAGTTTTGAAACTTGGGATGTGTCAAAAACGTAATAGACGCCAAGATCGGATTCCTGGAATAACAGAGCATTAAGAATAACTTAAAATTTCATGCCTTACAACTATGTAAATCACAAGATTGTTAAAAAAGTTTGTGTGTGTGTGTGTGTGTGTGTGTGTGTTATGCAAGAAGTCAACCGTAGGCGTCATTCCTCAATCGATACCCACATTTTTCTTTTTTTGGAGACAGAGTCTCTTACTTGAGTAGTTAGTTTGGCTAGACTGATGGTCATCAAGTCTCCACAAGCACCCAGGGATCTATCTGTTTCCCACGGGAATTACAATCTACCATTTGTAACTTATTTATTTATTTATTTACTTACTTACTTGTTTTTTTGTGTGTGTATGGGTTCTGGGCATCAAACTCAGGTCCCTAGGCTTGCACCGTAGCACTTTCCAGACTGACCCATCTCAGTCCCCTGTTGCAGCACTTTTTAAAGTCCTGGTCAGCTGAGGTGTTAAGGATGTCTTCTCTCCTTTCACCTTGCAGAGGCTATGGAGGTGTGTGGCTTTTTGAAAAGTGTTTATTTTACATATACAGACACTTTGCCTGTGCACCATGTATATGCCTGGTGCCCTGAGAGGTCAGCAAACTGAGATTGCAGGTGGCAGTGAGCAGCAAGTGGGTGCTGGGAATTGAACCTGGGTCCTCTGGAAGAGCCGCCAGTGCTCTTAACCACGGAGTCACCTCTCTAGTTCCTCCTGGTGCTTCCTGTTCTGTCTTCACCCAGTCACACCCTGTCCAACTGTGGGCATGCGCTGGAGTACCCGTCTAGGACTGAGGTAAACCGGACTCCAGGCGCCCACCGCAGCCTCCTCTTAGCAGGAAACACTGCTTAGCATTTGAGACTTGCACTTAACAAGAGTGAGTGGGGTCTTAGTTTTAAAAGCTGTCCAGGTACGGCTGCTTTGTCTATGAGCTCTTAGGATCTGAAACTTCTAAACTGCTCTGGGATAAAGTTCACCAGGAAATACACACAAAGAGAGCACTGTGTGGCCCAGATGGAAACATGGAAAGTATGAGCTCCTCCAGACTTAGAATAGACAGAAGCACTTGGACTTTAGGGCAGTCTTATCACGTTTTGAAAGCTATAAAACATATCTGGCTTGGAAACCAAATGTTGGTGCCATTGCATCATGTGCGTGTTGCATGTGGGAGGAAATAACATATCGGACCTAGGTTGTAGGCAAGGGGAGAAGCTCCCTGTTTCTTTAATGAATCTCCAGGAGCCTGGCTCAGGAAATGTGCCACTGGGCTTCACTTGCTATGTGTGGTGTGGTAAGCAGGACCCTATAATTACACCCATTACATATTAGGGTTCATCAAGCGTGTCTGCTGGCTTTTATTTGGACTTGAAAATCCTTGTCTTACCTTGGCAGGTCACCTTTTGTCTCGGAACGCCTCACTGTGCCTTCCTTCTGATGAATGAGGTCATTCCACCCTCCGCTGCCAGGCAGTCATCCGAGGAGCTGTAGAGAGAGCAGCAGCTTAACCTCTAGCACCCCACAGCTTGGCAGCACCAGTTCGGAGCCAGAGAGGACAGATTAACAAGCCGTCATAAAGCCAGCGAGGCTCTCAGATGGCCCTGTTAGATTGCCAAGGGTAGAATTTGATCAGAGACCCAGGTTCTTAATTGTATGCAAATCCTTGCACAGATTATCAGGGCATATTTAACTCAACTTTATGGAAATAACTTCCTTGTTATGATCTTTCTGATTCCTGAAAATCTTTTGAGAATGGTCAGTTTCATATTTTTTTTTTCTAATGGTGCCAGGAATGGAATCCGGGGCCTTGCTTACACTAGACAAATGCTCTACTGCTAAGCCATATCCTAGACCCTCACTGGGAGATTCTAGGCAAGTACTCAACCCGTAAACTGTAACTCTAGAGTAGGAATAGTCAGCTTTAGCCAGGTAGACTTCTGGCCAGGCGGTGGTGGCGCAGACCTTTAATCCCAGCACTTAGAAGACAAGGGCAGGCAGATCTCCGAGTCTGAAGCCATCCTGGTCTACAGATCAAGTTCCAGGATAAAGTTGCACAAAGAAACCCTGTCTTGAAAAACAAAACAAAACAAACAAACAAGAAACACAAACCAAACCAACCAGCTAACCAGCCAAACAGCAACAACAACAATAAAGAATGGTTAGTTTTAAATCTGTCTAGAAATCAAGCATAAGGCTTCCAACCCAAGTTCCAGGCTAGGCACTAGGTATTTAACCTAGGAGGTCTTTGTTGAACAAAAGAGCAAGTGGATATTGATTATTTTCTCAGTGCCAGGCACTCTGAGTATGTGTGTATGTGGGTGGAGGTTGCTGGGAGGTAGAATGAATTGGACTGGACTCATCTTTTAATGCATGTGCAGAAGGCAGAATTCGAGGATTGAGCTGAAAGCTGTAATAGAGGTACAGCTGACCATGCCATAGGCAAAAAGGTGGGCTCAATCTCAAAAAGTCCATTTAGACTCATCAAGGGTATTTGTTGATTGCACACACGCTTGAGAACCCATGAGGTCTTAGATGTTCTTGGACTTTACAGTGCCCATCAAGAATGGAAGAAAGTCAATCGATAGAAAGGAATGACTCAGTAGAAGGTAAGGTGGGCTGGTCACCATCATATTGTTTCTCAGTGCAGTTAAGTGCTGAGAAATCCACCTTCCCCCAACCCTTAGCCATCCAGCCTCTTAATATCTTAGCAAAGCACTTCCCCATGGGCAGGGAACTATTGTCTCCTCTCCTAGCTCTTGCTTCAGTTAAAGTAATCAAATGTCCTGTTTATGTTGACATAGTTTGTAAGGTGTAATAGTAGGACCTGGAGGTGGCTCAGTGGGTAAAAGGTTTGTCGTGCAAACTTGAACACTTGAGTTAGGATCCCTGGCACCTACACACACACACACACACACACACACACACACACACACACACACACAGAGCAAAACAACAACAAAAACTCCACCAACCCCTAAAAAACCTAGGTCTATAACCCCAGGGCTGGAAGTTGGGATGGGTCAGAAGAATGATAGGGTGATCGGTGGGGCTGCCCGGGCAGCTAGAGCAATTGAAATGGCAAGGTCCAGGTTCAGGGAGACCCTCTGCCTTCCACATCCACACACATGAGTATGCATACCCACATATTAATGCACATACAGGCATACAACACACACATTCACTCAAAAGATGTCAGTGGTAATGCCAATACGATCTTTTGTTTATTTTTAAAGGATTTACTTTATTGATTCACTTTCTTTTTTTTTTTTTTCTCAAGACAGAGTTTCTCTGGGTAGCCCTGACTGTCCTGGAACTCACAATGTAAACCAGGATGACTTTGAACTCACAGAGATCTACCTGCCTCTGCCTCTCCAGTGCTGGGATTAAAGGTAATTTACTTTATTTCTATTTACGTGTGTGTGTGGGGGGGATTTTCCTTGGAGGCCAGAAGAGACCTTCGGATCCCTTTGTCTTAGTTAGGGTTTCTATTGCTGTGAAGTTGTCATGACCGTGACAACTCTTATGAGGGGCTTACTTAAGATTTTAGCATCATGGCAGGGAGCATGGCGGCATGCAGGCAGATGTGGTGATGGAGAAATAACTCAGAGTCTTACATCTTGCAAGCAACAGGAAGTTGACTGACAGTCACACTGAGGGAAGCTTGAGCAAAAGAAACCTCAAAACCCACCCCACCGTGACACACTTCCTCCAACAAGGTCACACCTCCTAATAGTGCCACTCCCTTTGGGGACTATTTTCTTTCAAACCCCCATACCCTTGAACCGGAGTTACAGGTTGTGTGAGCAGCCCGATGTGGGTGCTGGGAATCAAATTCGGGTCCTCTGTAAGAGCATCAAGCAGTCTTAACCAAAGAGCCATTTCTCCAGACTAGCCAGTAAGACCTTGATGATCCCAATGAAAACAAACAGGTTGGCCTTCTCTTGAACTTCCTGTGCATTTGCTCAGAGGCTCTCTGCCTTTGAGTGTGTGCCTGTAAAGTTCCACAAGATTTTATGACCAGAGAGATCCCTGCTGAGCACAGTCATCAGGGGTGAGCTGCTATAGAAACGCCAGTTCCTACACAATGGAGCTGAAAATTGCTGTATTCTTGG